ACAGAGTTTTCAGCTCCGGTTGCTCAGTGTGCAGGATATGCAGCAGTATTTTTGACATTTTTCTTTTTTAAAAAAAAGAATTAAAGGAAAAAAAAAAAAGAAAGGTAAAAGGAATTTTATAAGTTTTGTTACCTATCTTGTTGGAATACTGAATGTTTGGAAGTGGACGGCTCTTTGCCCGCTGGGTGAACTAACACTACAACCGATAGGACAGGCTTCTCCTGTAATACTTTATTATCCCTTGTTTCCTGGCTAGCTGAATTCTTTGCATGTCCAAAATGGAAACCATTGGTCAGAAACAGCATCCTCTCCCCCTCTTGTTTTTAATTTGATCCCACCATAAGACTCTCCAGGCGCCCCAGCTGGAGAACACAGTGTCGTTTTTGTGTTGTGTTTCTTTTTAACGCTGTCTCCCCTCCATACTAAAGTACGATATGAAGGCTTCATTTAATCTCCGCAGTTCATCTCATTTCAAATGTGTATGGAAGAAGCACTTCATTGAAAGCAGTGCTGTAAATATTCTGCCTTAGGAATACTTCTGTCTACATGCTTTCTCATCCAAGAATACTTCATCACACTGCACATGCTGCGTCTTAGACGGTGGGTGTTCCATTTTTATCCGCTACTCTTTATTTCATGGAGTCGTATCAACGCTGTGAACGCAAGGCTGTGAGATGGAACCAGAAGGCTGTCTGAACTTTTGAAACCTTGTGTGGGATTGGTGGTGGTGCCGAGGCATGAGAGGGCTGGTATGTGCGAGGTACAGGAGAGAGCGCATGCAGAGACCTGATGGTGCATTGGAGGGTTTTATTTTCCTTGCGAGATGTCTCTCCATCCTGTGGCTTTGGTGAGAGTGTGCGGAGAGCAATGATAGCAAATAAAGTACGAGTGTTTCTTGCATTCAAAGGACATCCACATGTGGAAGACTCTTAAGTGGGTTCTATACCTAGTTAATCAACTAGTTGAATGTGTTCTGTGAAATGAATATCTGTATTTTTTTTCCCTTATGTCAACTGCTGTGAATGCTGTATGGTGTGTGGTTTTTTTTTCTGTTAATGATCTGTAAGTGTGGTAACGTGACTTGAAGACGATGGGGTTTGTGCTGAGAACATTGAGCTTGTGGTGTGCTTTTGCAGTAGCTCTTGGAGCAGAGATCACTGGTGAGCTCAGTGTGCCTCTGCAGGGTGGTAGTCCCACTGTCTGTAAGATACCCATAAGAATGCCGTTTGCTGCAGTTTTGTGTTTGGATGCTTTTTACAAGATTTGTCACTGTAGGAAATTCTTAAATAAAACTGGTTTAAGTAATATGTGTCTTTGTTTTGCAGCCCTGAATGCAAAGAATTCATAGCAGTTAATTAATTTTACCCTTTTGCGATGAAGTGCTGTAAAGCTTTGGTGCAGTTATGCAGTTTGTTTCAGATAAGCATGCTCTAAAAGCTGCCAAGGCAAACGGAGCCACCGCTCATCACCTATCGGTACCCGACACCCACCTTTAATCCACTGCATTTTTGCACTGGTCAGTGATACCTATAGATCTAAAACCCAGTTCCCCCACGTTTGGGTGCCCGCACGTAGAATGGTAAGCAGTTCCCTCCACATTGCATCTGTACCAAGGGACGTTACTTGTTCTTTAGGAGCTGAGTTCCTCAGCAGCAGTGGGTTGGGGGAAACAAACACTGTGAAACTGTTTCTTCTGGCCACAGCATCTCCTTGGGGGATGCACATTTTTAACTTAACTTGTTCTCAGACCAGTTGTCCACTCGGGGGTCCTGCAGCACTTCCAGCCCAGAGGACAGCTGTACATTCATCTTTAAGTCTAGTCAGGAAAAGCCTTTCCAGCCAGAGAATGCGTTAGTAAATGTGCACAGACTTTTACAGAAGTCTTAACCTGAAAAGCTAAGTTTATTGCAGGCATAGAAGCATCAAGAGGCAGCTTCTTAACAAAGAGGAGGATGTTTGAACAGTAACTGGTGGAAGATGATTTCCACTAAGAGTTTGAGGCATTGTTTAATCTACTCGTGCTTGAAACCCATGGGAGCTCAATCCGTAGCGTTTCTACATCAAACTACTGTGCTGTAGCTGTAAACATCCTGAATATGGATATACACAGCTGTAAAGTAGGACTTTTCAAGTTTACCCTCATTACTGCATGTGAATGGAAGAACATCTAAATAGTGAACAACCTGCACTTAGTGGTAGTTTCCTACTTGCAGTATTGAACAATGAGCTGGGTCTCTGTGGCCATCCCTGGGGTTAAAGAGGGGTTCTGAGCACTCAGGCTGAGCAGTTAATCCCACACTTCTGTTGTTCAGATCCCACTGCAAAGAGTGTCTTAGTTATTTTTTTGCCTGCACCTAAGCCAGAATAATCTGCAAACTGTGTCCCATCTGTGAATTTTGCATTTTAGCACTTGCACTATTACCAGCTACTTCTGCTGAGTAACACTTAAAAATGGTATTCTTGGACCTCCAAAGCCTAAGTGTGACCCCCTGCAAGGAACCTCCTGGTAAGTTGTAAGCAGCATGGCTTTCATTTTGTTTCCATTGTCCAGGGGTAGGATTTGTCAGGCTGCTGGGCAGCACTGAGTAGTCTTTGGTGATAATTTTAGCATTTTGCACCCTCAGCCAAAATCCCTGACAATTTTGGAATCATTTTCAAGTTCTAGTGATGTTTTCCACTTGCTTTGCATCCGCTGTGGTGTTTATAAGTGAGTAAATAAACTACTGTTGAAAATGTAACAAAGTGTTTGGAGTCTTGTTTGGTGTTTGACGTTACTTCATCTTCAGCTATATTATTTTAGGAAGAGGAAAGAGGAAGTTGATGCACATGGGAAGGGGATATACAGCATAGTCACAACAGGGTTTTACAGCCTTAGTTCAGAGAATCTGTTGCCAGTGAGCGTGTACACAGGAAACCAGCACATACAACCAATACAAGATCGGTTGTGCCAGTGCTCTCACAGGACAGGAACTATGTTCTTCTCCTGTGATGCTGCTTTTGCTAGTTCCATAAAGCTGTTGAGGGATCAAACACTATTTCCAATGACACTACTACACTTCCTCTAAGATTTGTTAATAACCATCGGTGCTTTTAGAATGGCAGAAACTGCAGCATCCCCCACCTTACAAATATGAAAAGCACTTAGACAAGATCTGGAATAGTCACAAATAAATACACTTATCATTTAGAATTCACAGACAGCACTGACTTACTGCTGCACTCTGCCATGGGTTGTTGAGCAGGCTGCCTTTGACACTCTGTTACTGAAGGCTTCACGACGTTTAATTCTCCACGAAGCGCAGCTAGGAACAGAAGATCAAATTAATTCCACATTAAAGGGAACAGAAAACCACCATCAGTTACAAATTGATTTGCTCATTCATAAAGGGAAAACAAAAACTAGGGTTTTATTGACTTAAACATTAAACATAAAATAACATTTAAATGCACTGCTTTCAGGATGAGAAAAGGTAAATCATTCCGATACCATAATCACATGGATCTGAATGTTGCTGGCTGAGAACACGAGGGGCAGTGACCCTCTCTGGAACATGGAGGCTAAAGTTGCAGTTGTGGGCACCAGTTCCACCACTTACACCCGCCTTGTCACCAGCAAAGCCAGCATCCAGTGCTGGTCAGTGTGTTCCAAGGACAGGGGGGAATACAGCCTTTCCATGTGCACCCAGCTTCCTGCTGCTTGTGCTGAACACCAACCTCCACATCAGTCTTCCTGGGTTTCTACACACCATAGAATCCCAGCCTGGTTTGTGTTGAAGGGGCCTTAAAGCTCTTCCAGCTTCAACCCCTGCCACGGGCAGGGATACCTTCCATAGAGCATCTTGCTCCAAGCCCCTGTGTCCAACCTGGCCTTGAGCACTGCCAGGGATGGGGCAGCCACAGCTTCTCTGGGCACCCTGTGCCAGCGCCTCAGCACCCTCACAGGGAAGAGCTTCTGCCTAAGAGCTCAGCTCAGTCTCCCCTCGGGCAGGTTCAAGCCATTCCCCTTGGCCTGTCCCTACAGGCCCTTGTCGCACCTCTACTCCTTTCCTGCAGCCCCTTTAGGCACTGGAGCTGCTCTGAGGTCTCCCCTTCAGGAGCCTTCTCTTCTCCAGGCTGCCCCAGCCCAGCTCTCTCAGCCTGGCTCCAGAGCAGAGCTGCTCCAACCCTTGGAGCCTCTTCTGGACTCGCTCCAACAGCTCCAAGTCCCTCTTGCGTTGTTGCCCCAGAGCTGGGCCCAGGGCAGCCGGGGTGCGTGTGTGTGTGTGTGTGTGTGTGTGTGTGTGTGTGTGTGTGTGTGTGTGTGTCACAGTGAATGTGTGCAACTACCAAATCAGACTGGGTATAAAATAATCACTGAGAAAAGCCTGTGCCTTCTTAAAACACAATCCCCAAACTGTGATCCTCAGAGTATGCCATAAGCATACATGGAGTGGAGTATCTTCCAAAACTGCCTGCTGGGAAGCAGGATATTGCTAAGAAACAAGCCTAAACTGCAGCATTCCATCCGAGCGACCGAGTATTCCAGTGTTAACTTCCCCGGAGAGATGCAGTAACAAATGAAAGAACATTAAAATTTCTCACTACACTGATCTTGTGAAATCTTTTGTAAAATCATTCCTTTCTTCCGAGATAATTACAAGCAAATCTCTAAGCAGCAGTGCTCAAAGAGCATCAGTAGGGGCTGACACACACACGGGCACACACAGGAACGGGATTCTCCAAAGGAAGGATTACTGTGAGCAAATGCAGTGTTCTGAACACACCTCATAATTACAGTACGTGAACAACACAAACTGCTAATGAGAAAAGGCACTTACGTGTTGAATCCCTGAGGAATTCGGTTCCATAGGGCTGGCAGCTCCATGGGTCGCCTACTTCAAGCAGCACATATCCGATGCCACAGGAGAGAGCCGAGCTGTCACCCAGAAGGTACCGCACTGCACTGGTGCGGTGTGACCATGGGGTGGTGCTTCAGGACTGGGACACGGCAAACCTGCAAGGATCAGAAAACACAATATTCCCCTTAGGAGCTAATTGGTGCCTTACTGCTAAAGGCTCCTGAGGGAGAACCCACCCTTTCTTTGCGCTTTCCCTATGCCACCTCACTTGCATGGATACAGATCGACATTCACCGAGGGTGAAAGGAAGACTGTGACTGCCTGACTGGGATGCTCTCGCATGGAAGGTGAGCAGTGACCTGCACGGGGCCAGGCTCTCTGGTGCCTCAACACATACCTTGTCACTCTTGCCACACTGGGAAAACTGTTCCTTAAAGTAAAATCATGTCTGGACCTGAGCTCAACTGCAGGATCAGCTGGAGTTCTGGATTACCTTAAAACTTCCCTTCAGAATCGAGCTACCCAGTAGCTACATTGTTTAACAGGAACAATGCTGAAAACTAAGTACAAAACCACCTTTTTCAAGCACCACTATCTGATGGCTATTCTGACCTTTCCAGAATGAAGTTCTGGGAATAGACTGGGCTTCAGAACTAAGCACAGTCTCCCTCCCACCTGCTGCCTGTACTTCAGTTTCCATGCAGTGTGTGCTCCTGAGATTACCAGTCAGAAAGGCCCTTGCAGAGTTCAAAAGCCCAGGCAGGTGGTTAGAGATCCTCACTAGGGTCACTCCCAGCAGGGCTTTTCTCCAAGCATCCTAACTGCTATGGAATTCCTGGGAAGCAGCCACTGGGTCCATGTTACAGACAAGGAAACTGAATGCAAAATGACTCCCCTGGCATCACTGATCCACGCTACAGGCACAAGCTGTGATGAAATTACCAAGTCATCACACCCATGTGTGCCTGGGTTCGGTTGTGGTGAATTTCCCAGAAGTGGAAAGTGTTGAAAGAAATGGAAAAAACCCAACAAAACTGAAGGGAGGAGGAGAAATAATGAATGAGGAGAGAGAGAGGGAGATGAGGCTGTAAATTAACGTGGTGAAACCCAGGCTGAAGAAGATGCAGTGAAAGAACTGGGCCTGTCTCACAGAAGCTGTGATGCAATGCAATAAACCTCACCTTACCTTAAGGACATCACAGGAGCACAACAGTCCTGGGTGTGTCTCCATGAATCCCAGTGTGATCAGGAAGCCATCTTCCACCTGGGCACTGTAGCTGCAGGAGCCGAGCAGGGATAAGGTGTTGGATAGTTGGGAATGGTGATTTTCCAATTGTGTCAGTAAAAACTGACTCTGGCAGTGGGCTGGGAGAGGAAAAAAACCCAAAGCAACAGAAAATGGTGATCAGAACAATGAACTCAGCTCAACTGCACTGGGTAAAGGTAGGGGTTCTTTTTCTACACTAGTCTACCCTTTCAAGAAGCTTCCAGAGCTATGTATCTACCTACCTACGGAATGAAGCTCCTCTCACACATTTCACCAGGGCACGTTTGTTACTGTTGAGAAAACTGCCTTCTCTGTGTCTCCCTGTGTGGTGGCAGGAGCAGGGCAGCAGCGTTATCCAGCACTCCTGCCTCACGAGTGCTGCAGAGAAAGACACCGGGGAAGCACCACTTAGCACAGACCCAGGGCTGGAGGTCAGAAGGAAGCGCGATAGCTGGAAGCTCATCAGGAACACTCCGAGGTGTTCCATTTGCAGCCTGTCTGCTGTATCAGAGTGCAGAGTGGTGGGACAGCTATCAGCTCCTCAATTCCAGGAGCCTCTGAATGCAGCTCTTTCTTTTCAATGCCTTTGTTGCCAGACATTTAGACTGTAATTGTATTCTCTGAGCAAAACCAGCTGTGCCTCTTGCCAACACAATTGGAGCCGCAAATGCTCCCTGCTGAAGAGAAGCAAAAGGAACAGCCACAAGTGCCCCGAGGATCTCTGCTTGTTGACAGCATCTGATCACTGTGAAGTGGTGCTTTGATCAGCTGGGAACAAAGGCTTTATGATGTGCTGCAAAAGCTGTAGGAGCAATCCTTTAACTGATGAGGAATGCTGCACTGGCTGATAACACCCTTGTAGTTTTGTACCTCTCTAACACTGACTGAATTGTAAGAGGGAAATCGTTTGACTTTGAATTGTAGCCTCAAACACACCATTACAAACAAAAATGCCATTATCCAGTCATTAATTATAGATTATCACCTAAACCAGACCATACACTCTCAGGTTGCCATTTCAGTGGGAAAGGACCAAGTTGTGAATGAGACATTCACATTACTGCCCCTTAACTGACCATGGATTTCATTAGCCAAGACTTTTACTCCAGAGAATGGAACCTGCTTCTACCCTATACCTATGCAACAGCCCTGCTTCCTGCTACAGGCAGTATTTGGATACAAGCATGTACTTGGAAAGGAAAGCAGGATAGGGAGGAAAGGGTGAAAAGATAATCTTTGTGTTTCAGGTTTGCATGGCACAACACCAGTACCACAACACAACAGTGATGCTCTGTGATACCAAAGGTTTCTTTCAGTGCAGGCTGCAATTTCAGAGCCATCTTTCTGTCCATCCTCACAGAAAGTTATGAGCAGCTGCTCTTATTGACACAAACCCACCCATCACCACAGTGACTGAGCACCTCCGTGTGTTCCACTCTGAATGCATTCTCTGAGGCTTTTACACACAGCTGACAAACACACAGGGTAAAAGTGATACTAAAAACACCTAGAAATGCCTATGCTGTTAAAACCCAGCACTCTCCTCATTTTTAAACCCTGTTTGAAATGCCTCTCTTGGTCCAAAGAAGCTTGACCAATTCACTTGGAGCTTCTGGCTGCCTCTGACTACCCTAACAGCATCACCCTGCACCAGCAGAAATCAGCTGAGCTACAATGGGAAGCAAATCTCCTTCCATGCTATACTTGTACAGCATTATCAGCAAGTGGATTCTTTCCATAACTCTTATTACCTCATTCTCCCCAGCTACACGCACGTTTCTGTAATTCCACTGATTGTGCCCCAAACTATAGCAGCAGTTGATGGCTGTATTAAGAAGGAAGCATGTTCTCCAGCACACTCTCCTGAGCTGCTGCAGGTGCTGATTTAAACCCTCCCAGTGACACAGACCTCACTGCCTCTCCCCAGGCCAAGGTCCCACTACACTGCTTCCGTCCATCCGCTAAGGAACACCCCAAACCCATAAAGATGTGCAGCTTTAGCAGTGCCATGGAAGTGCAAAATAGCTCCCTCACTTAAAAGCTGAAATTTCCTCATGCTGCTAATATCTGTCCCAGCTCCACAGCCCCTACAGGAGCAGTCTGGAGGCAATTATAGGAAGAGATAGGAAAGAAACCCTGAAATCCTTGGGTGTGAAAAAAAGGCTCAGTGGGAAGCCTTACCCTAAGCATACAAGCCATGATATAATGAGTACTCTCTTTACACCCCTAACTCCCTGCTGAAATCATTAGGAAGTCAGAATTTCACATCTTCTGCTAGTTCCGCATCAGAATCCTCTCCCACTACCCACAAAACCATTTTTTCCTGGGCATGGGAAGGAAGGAACACTCAGAGAGATTAAATTCTCTCTTACAAGAACCTCATAGTTAGAAGGCAGTGACACCGTGGCTTCTATTTACTATGATGATATTTTTTTCCTTAAAGCATGTTTAAAGGACTGGTTTTAGACTAAATCTCAGCATAAAAACATGAGAGAAATACTGGAGAAAAGACCTCTGTGTGCTAACACACACATACATGCACACACACATATGTATGCATGCAGAGACAGAAGAACACTGCATATAACCAATCACTGTGGTTTCTGAAGGCTGTTTGCTTTCTCTGGTAACAAAAGGGCAAAGGGGCACATGATGAAATTAAAGGCTGAAACCTACAAATCGGATACAAAACCAGGATTAAGGAATAGCACGTAACTGATCTGTGCAATGTGCTATCACACAGAATTTAAGGCAAACTTTTATACCCCAGTGCGATAAATTCAGCTTAAGCTAAGCAGCACAGACAGCAGAGTCACTACTACACAGAACTATGCTGCTGTCTGGCTATACTTTTAAAATCACTTACTGAACTGTATCATCCATTGAAGCATAAGATGCTGGCCAGCATCAAAGACAGGAGATTGGACTTGAGAGATCCTTAGCCCAGATCCATTCTGACAATGCATACTCCAGAACTGCACAGAGCTGGGATCCCCACAGGCTGCTATTCATATATGAACAGTGCCCCATTACTACCCCCCTCATTCAGAAAACTGCCCTTCATATTGTTTTGAAGGACTAAAGGAGATAGAGCCCAACAGTTCCTCATTACATGTTCATTCCTGATTTTGAGGTGAGGTTTTCATAACGCAGTTTGAAAGATGTGAGTCATCCCCAATAAACTCTCCTGACTTGTGCTCACACGAGTAGCCAAAACTGGCTGACCCAACAGAAGGCACCCTGCTAGTCCAAGGGAATTTGCAGCATCAGGATGAAAAGCTTAGACTGGATCTTACTTTTCTCCCAGTAACCTGGATGTGGCCACTGGGAGTTCCCTTTGTCAGGGCAGTATTTCTTCCCATAAGCCTGCAAGTAAGAAAGTCATGAACCAGCCAGCACAAAAAGGATCAAATGGGGTTTTAACATCTGCCAGCAGAGATGCTGTCCCTTGACTGCTCAGTCCAAGCTTTAGAGCTGCCCAGAGAGTGCTCAATTATGCTCAGGTCATATTTTTATTAAAATCTCAGTGAGCTGTTTGCCAGAGGCTTGAAGTCTGAAAAACGACCCCCTCCAACCCTGCAAGCCCATTGCCAGTGCCTCAGGTCTCCAGTGCAAGGTGGGTCATAAACTGTACCACCCAGCCATGACAAGATTTCAAGCTGCTTTGATCACAATTCACTGTGACCATGAAGAAGCTGCTGAACAAGATTAAAACCAGCACAAGTAAGCCCTGGTAACTGCCTACATGGCCATGCTACCCCAGACCAGTTCTCTACAACCATCACTGAGCACCTTCCCAGTAAGCCAAGGCAGTGATGTTACCTTTCATGTTGCTAATGTGTGTTCAAAGCAGGTATCAAGTGACTTGCTCAGGGTAACAATGTAAGTCTGCAAATGCAGTGACCTGCAATGTGTCAGGTGTCTCATCGAAAAGACTCCATCCCCTTCCATGTTCCCCTGGAAAAGGGCTCCTACCACCTTTAGGACTAAAGAGGAGATGGGGTTGGGGAAACTGAGCCTCATGAGCTATCATTCAAAGCAACACCTCCTGAACTGCGGAAGTGAGGAAATGCTGCTGGGCTGATGCACCTTCATCCCTGAAGCTTTTTAAACAAAGCATTGGTTTATCTTCAGCAGTTCACCTGCATTACTCCAACATGTTTAAGAAGACAGTCCCTGTCCAAAAAGAGTACAGTCTAAAAGGACAACAAATGGTATTAATGTGACAAAGTGAGAGGCACTGTGAGGGACTGAGACGTATCAATGAATGCTACAAATGTGCTGAAGAACATACCTTGTGTTGCACCTACTGTGTGAAGGGCACTGCTGCCTTGAATGAAGGCAAGACACCCAAGCTCTGGTGACATTCATATTACTTTACCGAATGCCTGAAGTCCGAGGCTTTGCTCACCAGAACACATTTCAGGTTCCCAATAGGAGATACAGTCAGAGTCACAATATTTGGATCAAAACAAACCACAAATTCAAACCTCTCCAGAGAATGAATGGGCTCTGAATAGAAATAGTTTCAATTTTCAAGTCTGGATGCACACAACAGCAAATCTAAAAGGAACACGTGTGTAGTTCTGGTCTTGTTACAGAAGGTCAAGCAACAAGAGCTGGATGAGAAATTCAAGAGTTTTCAGGTAGCTGTGATGCTCCAGAGACTTTCACAATGGCTTCTCTCTTATCAGTTTCTGCCTTATCTACATTTGTTTTTTCCCTAGTGACACACGGGAAATGCAAGAAAATGAATGTCCCAGAGGCTGCCATCAGCTTTCAACAAGGAACAGCCTCTTTATTGTCTGCAGGAGGCAGGTCTGAAAGGCAAGGAACCAAGATATACAAGTCACCAAGCAAGAGAAGCCTGCAGCCCTTGGGCAGACTGCAACAGGTGGGTCAGGAAGGAGGGCAAACCAGCTCTTCCCAGCACATCTGTCTCCATCTCTGCCTAAGCGAGGAGAAGCTTTAATTATCTCATGCTGGAAAATAAAGGAGAAAGAAAGAGCCTGTCAATATCAGCCTGCTCAGACAGGAGCCCAGCAATCAAAGGGACAGCGTCTGCCCTCATGAAAGCGATCCACAGAGACCTTTGCTTTGCAGCCCAGCTCAGTGGCTTGTACCTAAAGACCTCTGCAGTGTGAACAGGTTCTGGCACATCAGCTGCACCACAGTAATTCCCAGTGTGTACATCTCCACCCATCAGGATACTGCTGCTAAGCTCCCTCTGCTAGCGTGCAAGGATGGTGCCTAAGTGTGCACACATGAATGGGCAACACAGAGCTCCAGCCTGCTAGTTCACAGCTCTTCATTTTGCACCTTCACATTAAGACCAGGCACATGCTTTACAGTGGAAGTAAATCCATACACTTGTGCTAAAAGCTATCACTTTAGGAAGGGGAAGTTGAATGAATAGGGATGTTCCAATACACTGGAGATATGAGGAGTCTGAATTCTGAATCAGACCCAGGCAACCGTGTCTGAAACAAGGTTGTAATAGTTGGGAAGGTAAATGCCCAGGCAGCCTTAAGCACTGGAAATTAGATCTCATTCTGGATTTCAGCACTGGGGAGCTCAAAGAAAGTATCTTCCCATCTATGCCAATATTTAGTGACCAGTATGTGTGCTGGTTCTTTCCAGCCAGGATTCAGCTCCAGGTGGGCAAAGCCACACACACAAAGGATGAATCTGACACCATGTGTAGGCCCCATTTCACAGCAAAGTGAATCCCGAGGTGCTGATCACTGCATTGCTCCAGGCATCACTTCAGTGCCTGACCACACACGTGCTTTCCCTGCCTGTGGCCTGAGCAGCAGAGCCAGGCAAGAGTCAGCCAGGCAAACCGCACACTGTGTACCCTTCTGAACAAGAGATCTATGCCTGGCCTTCCCTCCCATTTAACGAGTGGATCACTGGTGTCAGTGATCTGTGGACTGTGCTGCTTCTTGGCCTGTGTCCTTCTAGGGACAATAAGGAAACTACTTCTCCATTAGACTTCACAACTTGATTGTTAGTTTTTCCAACACACCCACTAACCCAGGTCCAGAATACTCAGTATCTCAGTACTCAGGGAGCAAGATACACTCAGTTTTGCAAAGCTGGCAGGCACAGAGACTGGAAGTGGTGAGAAGCGTAGGACAAGTTTCTTGCTTCTGCATTTAATCTGTCTAAAGCTGAACACAGGTGGATGCTGCCTATGAAGCAACCAAAACCAACTGCCAGGCGACACATTACTGCTGCCCCTAACAGCAGCAATCAGCCCGCAGGCACTCTGCAAACCAGGGCCTCTGCTCACAGCCCTGACTAACCCCCCCTGCACCAGGTGCATACGGAATACCAAAACCAACAACAAAACCCCACAGCTTTCATCTCAATGCATCAGTGGGTCTGAGTCAGGACTGGATGTAAGTGGATGGTGTAGACAGGGAAGCACCTCCTGATGTAGGAAGAGCTCACCTGTGCACGTCCTCTTGTTTTCATGCAGTGTGTAGCCAATCCGACAGCTGCAATAGTAGCCCCCCACGTAGTTGTGACAGTGATGATTGCAGAGGGGTTCACCATCAAACACTCTTTGGCACTCATCGATATCTAATGGGTGAAGCACACAATTAGGCAAACAGCACCCTTCAACCACACTGTCTTGCTCTGAGCCACTGTTCTGTGAAGTTAGCTTGTCTGCCTTTGGTTGCTGTGCCCTTTTGCATCTGCTGCCTTCTCCCACCTCACACCCGCAGCCACATTCTGTGAGAACCCAGGGAAGCACTAACCCCACCATACCCATGTCTCTTGCACCTGCATTAGGGGCTGGTCTCTTACCTTCAGCAGCATAAAAGGCCTCAAAGCCTGTGAATGGTTTCTCATTGGAGTAATCAGACCGAAACACTACCATGAGGTTGTTGTCAATGGAGTTGTAGGTCTTGTTGCCCGGAGCCTCCTCAGTGTCTGTGCTATCCTTTCCACACAGCGTGGCCAAGGTCCTCCCACCAGAGCTCAGCTGCAAAATGGGTAGACAAATCTACCAGATGAGCACAGAGCTTTGCTCTTCCCAACCTGCTGCCATGGCTTGGAAATTGTGTGAGGAAGGAGGCCTGGATGATCTCTAAAGGTGCTTCTAGCAGTGGGTCCAGATCCAGGGACAGTTAAGAGAAGATTTCCCCTAGGATTTAAGCCTGTAATTTTGTCTCCCTTTTCCCTTTCAGAGGCCCACATAAACCTGTGATGCAGCCTGGGCTATCAGCACCATGCTTTGTTTATAACGCTGGTGTTGATTTGGCACTCTGAGGGACAATCAGATCCTGGTTTTGCATACTCCTGTGCAACATCTCCCTCTGTAACATGTTATCATGCCCATGCAAATACCAGAAGAAGGAGAGAGGTAGCATGGCCTTAAGTCAGCACCAGGGCTGCCTGGACTAGAGCACATGCCAGCAGATGGAGTACAAACCTTTCAGGGATACCACTGATCTCTCAACCACTTCCCAAAGGAAGTATCTTTGCTTCTTTTCCTGGGGTTGTTTCTCACATTAGCTAGCAAACACACCACAGCAAGTGTGGCAAGTGCGCATTTAGGCAAGCTGACAGTATCTTGTTTAGACTATCACTTCCACTTTTACAGTCTCCCATTATCCTCTGTGTAAAGCACTACTTGTTAATTTAAAACACACACTGTAACTTCAGCAAAATGAAGCTCAAATGTTGTTTTGGGCAAGATTTCAAGTCTTTTGCTTCATGAGAAGGGAACATCAGAATTCTCTGAGCACAAACTACTCAAGTTTCAGACATTTCAACATGACAACCAGTTCTACTTCCTAGTCCCATGGGCCTCAATAAACACATCATTTATACATCAGCTGAACCTAAACTTTACTAGCTGTCTAGAATCAAGTGCTTACATCAGTTATGTTGGTCCTGCATGTGCCCCAAATCACATATACAGAGTTTTTAACAACTTGGCTTGCTACACATCACCCTGCCCTATGCATACCTTCACATAATCGTATTCACACAGGTAGGACAGCTCCAGATTGAAATGGGTGAAGTAAATGCGGACAGAATATCCCTTGGGAACAGTAATATTCCAGATTCTCTCCTTGTGATTTGGGTAGACATTTGGGAAGTTGGGAGATGTGATCCTCCCATACATCTTCTGCAGCACAATGCTGCTGCTTACTCCACTGTAAAGCACAGCTAGCAAGACAACCAACCTGTGTCAAAGGAACAGAGATGAACAGAGAAAGAGTGAGCATCAACTCACGTCATACACCAAAAGCCACACATCCAAGCTGCCAGTCTCAATACCGATCAGGTATCTTGGTGCTAACCGAAATCTTCATGTTGAACACCCTTCTAATTTAATAAGAGAAGAAATCAGGAGGTATCAGTGAAGTGATACTATAGGAGCTGCTAAACAAGAGGAGAATCACACTCGTGCCTCCCAAGGCTTGCACAGAGCCAAGTGGCTGGAGGAGCTGGGGAGGTCCCTGTGACTACACTCACCTCATCATGCTGCTCTCCTGCCTGAGCCTGCTCTGAGCCCCAGGGAAGGAATCTCTCTTGATGTATTTGCATTTGGGGGCGGATGTATTTATTGTGTGAGCTCTGCTGTGTTTGTCTGGATGTTGAACTCTGATGTTTATCTCCCACCCCCTTCAGCCTGCTGAGTTCTGGGAACAGCAATCACTAAAAACCAGGCTTGTGCTCAGCGCATGAGGCCTCAGTCAGTGACAGGGAGAGGCAGACAGAGATGGAGGGGATGGATTAGGAATGCTGCAGGCTCTTGGACCGAGCCATAGTATGGAAGGTCTGAGGGAAAGCAGGGAGTGGGAGGAGGTAGAGAGTGGCTCCAGTGTCTTTATGGGGGAGTGAGGAGAGCTGGGCAATGCTCTTTCCCTCTAACTAACTGATCTGCAATTACTGTTAATGCAAACAGTATGCTGCTGGAAGTAGTTTCTTCCCTTGTCAGAGCAGGAAAGTGTTGCAAACAAAATAATGGTGCACATGACAGGATTTCAGAATAGTGAGAGTATGCTCAGATGGGCCTGGGTAACGGGACACTCAAGTGACACAACACTACAGTGCACATGGGCACCAGTTTAAGAGATGCCAAAGTCTTCCCATCCTCGACTGCACATTTTACTCCAGTACAAGCTTGGCCCTGCTCCGTGCCTTGTTTATAGGTAGGGTTTGCTTTTTATCTCACCCATCCTGAAACACCATGAATCCCTATTACTGGGGATTCTCTTATGAAAAGGTAAAAAAAAAGGAAAAATGAACTCTGATTTCTTTTAAACATTTGCAGATCCACACAGGTATTTCACACCACTACAAGACCCCAGAGAATTCAACCTGGAGAGCCAATGCTATAGGACATAAAGCTTTATTAATTCAACTCCTTGCAGATGGCTTCTTTCCAAAACAGCATTTAGGTTTCCCACAAAAACCCTATTCCAGCACATACAGACATAGGTCTAAACTTATTTATAGAGGGTGAAAAGCCAGATATGTTAATGCCAACACTAGGTCCCACTTATTCCCTGAGAAAAATGGACAGAGAGCAGGAAAACTGATTTGCAGCAGGGAACAGACGATTGAACTGGACAGGGACTGGCAGGAAATTTATACTGAGATACTCTGTAATTAAATGGACACCTTCTGATACTCAAGTTTGAACAGCCAAAAACCATTACCTCAGGCAATGAAGTTGGTGCTGGCAGGAAAGCAGGAGTTATTACATCAACAAAACTAAAGCCAACAAACCATTTAGCAGACTGCAAACAGAAAACACTATTTAATAAAAGTGAAGGAGAAACTAGTAGCAGCAATAACTAACTGCATTGCAAGCACGGTTAACAGACAAGAACCCAGAGGGGACTTAGCTCTTCCCATGGCCCACCAGCTGCTAAAATGATCCTATCAACACGTGCAAGATGTGGACTTTATACTGGCCGGAAATAAGGGAAGAAAAAGAGTATTCTGCAAATAATCTGTGCCTCACTGAGCTGGTGCCTGATTCCCACAGACATAAACACTTCCAGAAGCATTCCACAGGAGGCTTCCCGCTCTGCTCAGTAGCAGAAGCATGGAGAGTCAATTCTGCTCCTAGGGCTGCAAAGTTGCTCACAACCCCAGCATGTGATGAGGCCCCTGAGGCTGACGGTTGCTGCCCAGCACTGAAATAAGAAAGCTGGCTTAATAAATTGTAATCCTGAGAGGCTGAACGTTGGGTGAACACACTGACTTTCCACTGGCACGGTCTGTGGACAGACCAGACTGCTGTGATTTTAGTCCTCTGCACCTGATGTGAACAACACCAAAAATGGTGTCCCTGTTTCACTGCCCACAAACCTCCTGCCTCCAAAAGGCTGCTGGGCATCAGCTAGCCAGGTGCAGCAGTATCTTGAGCATATGGTGACAGCCAACCTCAGGCCCTACAGATGCTCCTTTTGCCCAGAATTTCCCTTTTGATCCACAGGACTAAGCCAGCCTGAAAGTTGAGTGGACTTCATCCATGTCACTGCAGTTCCCAGTGCTCTGTAACTTGTCGAGTTATTGATCTACTTTAGGAAGCTTGGGTGGCATCTGGAATGGCAGATGCCTCTTGAGAAGTCTGCCCTGCTGTCTTCTTCTCTGTCTGCTCCCATGCTTGAGGGCTGAGCTAGCACAAAGGCAAGCCATCATTTTCAAGAGAAACACCAGCATATGTGAAAGCCAAGGTTCAGAGAAAGGACTTCCCCTTGGAAGAAAGAAAATTTCAATGGGATGAAGGAATATGGAATGACAGAGAGATACTGGAGAGAACTCATATGAGACCATACTCTCCCTCAGACCCCACACAGTCCCTCAAAACATACTTTTACTACTCAACACTGATGTCTGTCAAGGAACCATTTGAAATCCCTCCTGTGCAACAGCAAGTACAGAGAGCTAAGCCAAGCTCAGCAAGAGCAGAGCTGTTCAGCCAACATAGCTCCTCAGGCTGGTACCACTGAGAGCCAGAGACATGATCTCCACTTTCCCTGCAAAACCAGCAGCAGCAACCAACTGATAAGATGAGAATGCTGGAAACCAGCTGCGCAGTGAAAGCCTCCATGTGTGAGAACCAGGCTAAGTCCTGGGGCAGCTCTACAGCTCACATTTCCCTCAGATCCCAAGTTTTGAAACTGCAAAAATGTTACCTGAGGTAAATCCTGCTAAAGCTCTGTTCCAACAGAAAGAGTTTCAGCTGTGACAAACTCTGAGATCCTGTAAAAATGATGTCAATACAGCCCCACATCCACTTCATCACAAAAGTCCCAGACAGCTCTATTCTCAAATGGACCATGCAAAACCACACACTGCCTCAGAAAATCACCTCGTGCCAGGGGAGAAAACCAGCTCTGGGCCTTTGAAAAGCAGCTCCTGTGTTCTGACAGCAATTCCATGAAAAGCACTGCAATGCTTTTCAATCAGGACCAGATGTTGCAGGTGTAATAAACAGGACAGTGAGCATCTGAACGTGCCTCCAGATCCAAAACACAGGTACATTGCCAAAGCAAGAGGCTAGTTAATGAGCGGGGGAGAAGCACGCATAGGTCTTCCTGGCTTCCAAGATGAGACAGTGCAGTCATGTAAGACAGCAGTGGCTAACCCTGCGTCACAAACCAGGAGAGCAAATAAGCGTTAATAGCTGCTTGCTGTGATCCCTGAAGACACTGCTCCCCATTGCCCCTTATTTCTCAAATGCCAGCTGCCTCTGCAGAGCCCTAAGAGATTGCTCGGATGCTTGCTGTTCCGTGGCTAAATCCAATCCTCCTGCATTGAGGGGTTCAGAGGACTGGGGAGGGGGGGAAGCAAATGCAGCAGAGGAAGACTTCTGTTTCCTCATTACAAATCAAACAGCATGACTGACATTGAAAGACAAGCACACAGACGGAGCAAGCAGAGCATGGAGTGGAGCAGGGAAGAGCTTGGCTGCTGTGAAACAGGGAAAAAAATCATCTTGCCAGGGGGGAAATAGCAGGGAGAGAAAGCTCATGCAATGGGGCAAAATGCTTCCTTCAGTGAGGGCATGCTTTACTCCTTCCCATGGTGTCTACTGCTACTTCATTGTTTTATATTCTTCATACTGTTTTGCTCCTCTGGCATGAAGAGACCTCTCAAAAACAAGGTTAACCATCACCTGCTTGGGTCTGGTCTCAGGCTGGGAAACATGAACTCTCCAGGAGAGCCACAAAGCTTTGAGTTCAAAGCATGTCTCTGAATACGTGTGCTTGTGCACATGTGTATGTTAGAAACCGTGCACACACAGTTTGCATCCTATGTAAGAATACACACTCAAAATGCTGATGTTTAAGTTCCTGTGTAACTTCTGTTCAACTACACAGCTGCAGAACCTAACAGTACATCATTTTCACGTATGCCAGCCCATTCCAATCACAGCATGGATGCACACGTATGTGTATGCACATGATGACACAAATTCCAGGACAAACCCCTGCACTGTACACACTCACCCCCTTGGGAATAGAATATGACAGCACACAAGATGCTGGTCATGTTACTCTGCCTTCTCCTGGAAAAATTCCCACTCTGCCATGGGAGGACAGCATAAGGATTGTGTAGGTCAGAATCTCTTTCCCCTTTGCCTGTCTCCCCAGTGCCATTAGCCTAGCTCTGAAAAATGGAACTAGCTCACACAGCTACCGTCTCACTCCCACCCACATCCTTGGTAGCTGCAGCATGTCTGCTGGGCTGGCTCCAAGCCTGTGACTTCACTGGAGCAGCTGTTTGTGCTGGGAAGAGAATTTTGTTACAACTGAGATGCAGCTAGAGCCAAAGCTGTGAAATACAGCGCTGTCTTCTCTCCAAGCAAAGATGCTGTGCACGTTACAGGCACAGCCAACACACTTTCCTTGGGTAGGCCTGCCTCCAAACAGCTAAGAGGAACAAAGGGGGTGGGTGAGTAACACACATCTAACATACCTCTTGTCCATCATGAAGTCTTAAAGCAGGGAAAGCAGACTGGGGGTGACAACAGAGGAAAGCAAGAAAATACAATAAACCTCTGTATTAGAGGACACAAAGAGCAACCAAGGACTGATCTTGAAACTCCCTACTGTGAATAGAGTGAAGCTGACCAAAGCCTCTCCTGACCACCACAGCCTCATCCAGCAAGCAGCTTGGCCCTGTGAAGTAATCATGAAACTTTTCAGTTCCCAGAACAGCACCCAGGAACGACAGACTCATTTAGAGAGAGTAGTTTGGGGTTACACACCTGCCACAATGACTGGAAGGCCTGGAAAGTCACTTGCCAGCTTAGAGAAGGCTATTGGCATGTGCCATTCCCTCCAGCACAGAGTCTCCAATGAGAGGATCCACTCGAGCAGTAACCTCTCTCCAAAATCATTCTTTGCCAAGAGAGAACCGAAAAGCAAGCTTGGCAGGAGTACCATATCCACCATATATATCTCCTGCTAGTTCCCATATAGCCCTCCACTGTTACATCCTTTCTTACACAAAGCTTAAACCATCTCCTATCTGCAGACAGTGACCATCACTAAGTTTGGGATGAAGCCCTGTTTTGCAAAGAAGGGGAATCCAGGCTTTTATCTTC